TTCAGACACATCCGAATTTCCGAATTACAATTGCCGTTTCTGAACATCGGATCCCGTCCGTATTTTGTTCAAAAACGAAACTGAAACAAACATGTGACTTTTCTGGCCTATCAGATGTGTTTTTCGGTTTAATGCATCCGAATGGGTCTGAACACAAATTTTTGTTACGGCAACATGATTGCCAGAAATGTCACATGCCTGACCACCCACTGTACTGACATGCCTGACCACCCGCTGTACCAACACGCCTGACAGCGTAAAATTTGTGTTCAGTATATACATATAATACTAAAGCTGATGTATGGCTCCCAGACTAGAATGGCATTCAGGAGCTCCCAAATGCAATTTGGAAATTCGGATCCCGAATGCCATTCGGGTCTGGGAGATTCAGCTTTAGTATTAATATCTGTATATGGTTTTCTGTGGTAGTTGCAACAAATATTCGTAAACTCATCCGAAACTAATGGGAATTTGGACCTAGTCCGAAATCCGATACCCGAACCAAAAACACAAAATAATGAAACATCCGAACCAAACTTTTTTGCTGCTTACATGTCTAGTACATGGCTCCCTAAATCTCAATACTTTGCTGGGTATATGTTTGTACCTTGATACCCATCTTAACCATCTAAAACCTGCCAACATCTACTTAACATTTGAATATTTCCTTACCATCCTTTCTCCATCTCCCGGCAATGATATGACAAAGTTTAGTAGTGTGTGTTTAGAAAAAGGAAAAGGTTTGTATGATACATATTCACAATAACCTTCCTAAACCATTCATAATAAAATTCCTCCATAAAAAGTGCCAACTTTTCTGCAGTGAAAGAGGTGAATAACGTTTAAAATGACTTGCACATTATCCATTAGTAAATAAAACAATACCAATCAAACTCTACATTCAAACCACCAGGAATTAAAGTCTGTAATCAAAAGTAACAAAAAACATATACAGTATGTATGTATGTACTTTGTTTCTTTTGTCAATAATTTCCCTTTTAGGCCTCATTCACACACGAATCGGCCTGCACGTACAGCTCCGTGCGGGGCCGTACCAAGTAGCTCCCGGGAAGGACAGGTGCTGCGTGTGATTAGAACGCAGCCCCCGTCCTTCTCTATGGGGTACGCGGCCGTACGCCCCCCTACGCTCACCTCATTTGCAGGTAGTTCCCCTCCAATACCCAGCGCCGCGCTGCCACCAGGCAGCCGCCTTGGGCGCACTGCTTCCTTGGATGCAGCCTTGACCTGCGGCTTCCCCGCAATCTGCTGGCTTCCCCATACCGCTAGGTTATCCCAATGCATGCGAGTGGTCTTCATAAATATGGCTGAGGAGGGAGGACAATTTGATAACGTGAGCTTTTCCCTTTAGCGTTCAGAGCCCCTCTCTTGTGACCTCAGACAGGGACTGACCTCTGTTGAATCAGTCTAATGAGCCATGAGGGTGGCATGGCTGGCTCAGTGGGAGCATTTGTACTCTACTAGCATTTCCCTGTGCTGTACCCATCACAGGTCACCCAGATGTTACAGTGAGAGGCGTGTGATGGTGTTGAGTCCGGCTACAGGAGAATGCTGAGCCCGCTGTGTGTGCTATGAAGGCCTGCTCACCTCGGCATGTAACAGCCCCTAATATTGCCTGTATAGGCTGTATGGTTGAGGGTGCTGTGGCAGGACTGTGGATGCCATGGAAGGGATATGAACTCTATGTGCTGGCCTGAGGCCTTGTTCACACCAAACACTGAGCAGATCCAGAGCAGAGCAGAGCAGTTGCAGACCGGATCAAAACTGCGTCCAATGTATTCCAATGGTATTTTTAGCTCCAGTTCACATCGCAGCGTGCAGTTCCAGAGCAGGTACAAAAACTGCAGCAAGCCCTATTTTACCTGCTCTGGATCTGCAAACGCATCAAAAATGCATGCAAATGCCTGGAACGCACTGAAAGCCCATGTTAAACTAAAAATAAAATGTATTTATTTTTTTAAGCACAAACGGCCCGGAACGCATCAAAAACGCGGCACAACCCACTGCACTGCGTGTGCAGAAACCTGAGCGGATCTGCTCTGCATTTGGTGTGAACAAGGCCTAAGAGTGAGAATAATAACTCAAAATTTACAAATAAACATTTCTGACATTTTCAAAAACAAAATCAGTGACCAGTTTAGCCCCCCTTCCTTTTAATAACAGTCATTAGCCTTCCTTCCATGGAGTCTGTCAGTTTGTTGATGATCAACTTTTTGTGCAGCAGCAACCATACCCTCCCAGACACTGTTCAGAGAGGTGCACGGTTTTCCTTCACCGTAATCTCCCGTTTAAGAAGGGCCCACAAGTTCTCAGTAGGGTTTAGGTCAAGTGATGAAGGGTTACATGCCATTGTTCTTTCATCTTTAAGGCCTTTACTGGCTAGCCACGTAGTGGAGTACTTCGATGCATAGGATGGAGCATTGTCCTGCATACATATCATAGTCTTCTTGGAAGCTGCAGACTTTTTCCTGTACCACTGCTTGAAGAATGTGTCTTCTAAACACTGGCAGTAGGTTTGGGAGTTGATTTTGAGTCCATCTTCAACCCGAAAAAGGTCCAACTAGCTCATCTTTATTAATACCAGCCCACCATTACCCCATCTCCACCTTGTTGGCGTCTGAGTTGAAGTGGAGCTCTGTGCCCGTTACTGATCCAGCCACGGACCCATCCATCTGGACCATCAAGAGTCACTCCCATTTCATCAGTCCATAAAACTTTTGTAAGATCGGTCTTCAGATATTTCTTGGCCCAGTCTTGACGTTTCAACTTGTGTCTTGTTCAGTGGTGGTCGGGTTTCAGCCTGCCTTACCTTGGCCATGTCTCTGAGCACTGAACGCCTTGTACTTCTGGACACTCCAGGTAGGTTGCAGTTCTGGAATATGACAGCACTTGAGGATAATGGGTTCGTGGGAGCTTCACGTCCGATTCTTCTCAAATCTTTGCCACTTAATTTAAGTCTTTCTTTCTCAGCACGTTTCTATCGACCCTGTTGACTATTTGCAACAAAAACAATTGTTCTATCGCCTATTTCACATGTAAACGAAATATCGTCTGCCTCACTCTACATTTAGTCCTGCTTGTACAAAGCAGGACTGAATGTAGAGAGGGCAACTTCCCCACAAGGACACCGCTTCCACCCCTCTGCGCCCTGCTGCCCCGAGGCCGGGCCTCGGTGGCCTTGTGGGGAATCCGGGCCTGCCAATATCCTAGCAATTTCAAGAGTGCTGCATTCCTCTGAAAGACTTTTTACAATTTTTGACTTTTCAGAGTCCGTTAAATCTCTTTTTTGGCCCATTTTGCCTGAGGAAAAGAAGCTGCCTAATTATTATGGACACCTTGATCTAGAGTTTTGATCTCCTAAGGCCACACCCTCCCTCATTACACATCACCTGATATGCTTAAATCCAATAAGCCTTCAAGGTTATACAGCTTGGAGTTAGGATAATATGCATAAAAATGGTGATTTGGTCAAAATACTCACTTGCGTGTCCTGTGGCTCGGTCAATGGGGAGGACACAGGCCTTGTGTGCTGTGCTTGTCCTTGCAGTGTCGCAGGCAGAGAGGAGAGGGATGGGAAGTGTGAGTTGCCTGACCACCCACTGTACCGACATGCCTGACCACCCACTGTACCGACATGCTTGACCACCCACTGTACTGACATGTCAGATATTAGTAGAATTAGATACGAGACAGACATACAGTTCTATCTCCAGGAGTTGGGAGTTCCTAGTCGATGGTCTTAAAATATACAATTCGTACCGTTTATTTCTAATTACAGTTTACAAATTTTCTTTTTCATTATGGTTGTACGTGGGGGGGCCTCATGTTTGAGTTTCCCCTAAGGCCTCACAAAGTCTAGAGCCACCTCTGCATCTCCTCTAAACCTCCAGTGTACCTCACTCCTCTCCTACAACCTCCAGTGTCCTCCCCTATAACCTTCAATGTCCTCCATGTCCTCTCCTATAACCTCCAGTGAACCTCATGTCCTTTCCTACAACCTCCAGTATACTCCATGTCCTCTCCTACAACCTCCAGTGTCCTCCCCTACAACCTCCAGTATACTCCATGTCCTCTCCTACAACCTCCAGTGATCTCCATGTCCTCTCCTACAACCTCCAGTGATCTCCATGTCCTCTCCTATAACCCCCAGTGTCCTCCATGTCCTCTCCTACAACCTCCAGTGTTCTCCCTGTCCTCTCCTATAACCACCAGTGTTCTCCATGTCCTCTCCTATAACCCCCAGTGACCTCCGTGCTCTCTCCTATAACATCCAGTGTCCTCCATGTCCTCTCCTACAACCACCAGTGTTCTCCATGTCCTCTCCTATAACCCCCAGTGACCTCCGTGCTCTCTCCTATAACATCCAGTGTCCTCCATGTCCTCTCCTACAACCACCAGTGTTCTCCATGTCCTCTCCTATAACCCCCAGTGTCCTCCGTGCTCTCTCCTATAAGATCCAGTGTCCTCCATGCCCTCTCCTATAACATCCAGTGTCCTCCATGTCCTCTCCTACAACCATGGAGAAGCTGATGAGAGCCTTCGAGTACCCCCAGTGTCCTCCGTGCTCTCTCCTATAAGATCCAGTGTCCTCCATGCCCTCTCCTATAACATCCAGTGTCCTCCATGTCCTCTCCTGCACCCCACATCCAGCTCACACACCCGCTTCTCCTGCGTCCTCAGTAAGCACCTGGGATAGCTGTGTTTTGCTCCAACCAATCATGTGACCTGTCAAGTGACTTCTGACGCTCCGCCCCGCTGCCCAACAACTCCATTCTCGCATCTTCCTACCAGGACATCACACAACGACTGCAAGTGATTGGTAGGCGTGGCTTACATGACAATACACGCCCCATGACCTTATTTTCACTACCCATCTTTTCCCGGCCCCGCCTTTTCTCGATTTCAGCCAATCCTATCTTTAATTATGTCAACTGACCCTGCGCCCGGATTGGCCTATGTTGCTGTCCGTCTGGCAGTGGCGGCGTTCGCTATTGGCTGGGGGCGGAGGAGCGGTTTAGGCCGGAGCTGTCAGTGATTCTCCCGGTACTGGCGGCTGGTGATGGCGGTGAGACGGTGAGGAGCTTCCCGCTTAGGGAACATGGCCACAATGGAGAAGCTGATGAGAGCCTTCGAGTCGCTGAAGTCCTTCCAGCAACAGCAGCAGGGACCCACCGTGCCTGAGGAGCCGCTACCCCGAGCGTGAGTACAGCGACATCCCGGGGGCACTGCAGGTTCACAGTGCCGGGGACTGCTGGGACTTGTAGTGGCTGTATGTGCATCCCTGTCTACCCACAGCTCTGCGCACAGTAGGGGCCCCGCTCTCTCCGTGCCAATTTACTGGGGGCCCTAACATCGGTCCGGGGCCCAGATCGTACATCCAGCGAACACATGACTTGCTGCAGCTAATCTGGGGCTCCTGCACCATCAATGTACTTACACGGGGGTCCCAGGGCCCTGACTATATACACTGCTGAGCCTAATGGGATGATGCTTAGTAACCTGGGGCCCCCAGATTCCTGACAAGAAATTCCATGAGGCACCCTGGTGACAAATGGCCTGCCCCTGGTCCCCAGGATCCTGGACAACAGATGTCCCAGGACCCCCAGTATTCTGATGACAAGTTCCACAGGGGGCACCCAGGATCGTAACAACAAAGGCCCCACTTTCCCCGGGATTCTGTCGGCAAGGGCCCCCAGGATCCTGCGACAGATGCCCTAGGGGCCCCCAGGATCCTGATGACAGATCTTAGTATTTGAAGACAAATGCCCCAGGGACCCCCTGGACCCTGTCCGCATGTGCCCCAGGGGCTTCCAGGATCTTGCTGCCAATTGCCCCAAGGCCCTGACCTCTGATAACAAACACCCCATGTCCCCTGGAACCCTGATTACACATACAGTGCCCTGACGCAGGGGATCAGTCATGCTGGTATCAGTGTCTACACATAGTACATATGATGGATGTACATGGGAGCTTCCAGAACCCAGTCTGCCAATACTCACACTGTACGTACGTGGGGTACCCCGACATCCTGACCTCTGTAACCCCAAATTCATGTACACCACCTCCTAGACCTCCCACCACATGTATTGTTTGACTCAGCTCCATTACTATATACATGACTGCTTAATACCCCCCCGTCCTGTATGTCTGTGCTCCCCCCGTATATTGGTGCCCCCAGCACTGCGCAGACACATACATTCTGGTCCCCAAAGCTCCGAGACCGTACAGACTGTGGAGATCCCAGAATGTCATTAGAGATTCTGTCCTCCCACCACCGGACGGGGTTCTTCCTGTGGACACACCAGAGCACGGCCTGTATGAAGGCAGAAGACCTGAAGCACACCAACAGCATATACATTGGGGACCCCCTGCCTCCTGACTACATACTTGGGGGGGAATGGGGGTCACTATGACTGCAGTCTTACCCCCCTAACTCTATGTACACTCTATGTACACCCTGACTCTATGTACACCCCAAATATGCAGCTCATAGCTAAGAAAACCTCCATATCTGTACTCAGAGTGACCTCCGTGCTCTAACCAAGGTATTGTAACCCGTGTACACTTCTAATATAGCGTCTGCATGGGGTACATTTCCTGCCACTGTCCTGCCGTTATTCTTTATGGATTTTGTGACTGGACGTTTTGGTGTAGTGACAATATAATAATATGCCAAAAATAGTTTCTAGTATTGAAGAGAAGGGGTTAAACCCCATCACTTGATATTTTTGCTGTCTGTGTTTTTGTTGGGGAGATTTCCCTTTACATCCTGTCCTGGAGAAACAACAGGAAATCTCTACAAAGTAGGCGGAGTACTCCTTTAGGCCTCACTCACATGGGGCTTTTATGACTGGCTGAGGATTCCTGCGGTCACACTGACGGCTGCAGCCGCTCAGCCTGTACACAGCAATGACGGAGCAAAAGTAGCCGCAGCCGCCCGCCACCTGTTCAGCGGTTACCTGCAGCTAGAGACAGCCGTCCGACCGTGGACGTGGGCCCATCCCCCGAGATAAACAAAGCCGAGCCGGGGTGACAACCATAGCTTCCTCCCAGGGCCGTCCCTATAATGAGGCAGCATCTCATTGGGGAGTGGCACGGCTGGTGGTGCACAGTGTCCCAGGTTGCTAAAGCACTCTTGGCAACCTGTGACGCTTTGTGCAGTGCCGTCCAGCGCACTGACGTCACCGGTTGCCTAGAGCCAAGCGGGACACTCTGGCTTGCATCCCGCCTAGCTCCCGGCAACCGGTGATGTCACTGAGCTGGGTGGGATGCTGGACAGAGCCGCTGACAGCACAGTCTGGTGTCCACCGCCGCCCCATTCGAACAAATCAACGGCGCACAAAAACTCCCCCAACTAATGACCATTCCCTCACAGCAAATCCCTTTCCCCGCCCCCTGCATGGATACAGCGGAGGAGTAAGCGTAGCCAGCCAGGGACAGGAAGTGTGTTATTTGCAGGAGATGATAATAGCAATGAAAACAGAAAACCAATGCAGCCACCACATCTGAGGAAATGTACACTGCATGATGTTTTTGGGTTCAGCAATGCTTTAAAGAAGAACTCCGGGAAAAATCAGAAGCTTACCCTGGCGGTGGCGCTGTCCATGCACTGCAAGGGTTAAGTGCTCAGTTTTGTCCCGACTCGAATAAAACAGATTTACTCACTTAATCCCGGCTTCCTCTGCGCTGCTAGAGCGAGCTCCACAGCCTCTTCTCCCCTGGGCTCCGGCGGCCTAAGGGCCGATGATGTCATCATGTGTTATGCAGGCCCATTGACCTACATTTGATGTGAGGACACCGAGGGACATTACACAGCTGGAGCAGAGGGGGAGAGAGGTGAATGCCTGTAGGCAACCTTGGCACTCCAGCTGTTGTGGACTACAAGTCCCATGAGGCATACCAGGAAGTTCTCTCCTATTTTTCAGTTAGAACAGAAGATATTTAAAGTCCAAATATTTTTAAATGCTGAAATCGCTTACAATGGATGCTGCTCCTTGACGTTTATATACGTTTTACAGGGTTATTCACAAAAGAGTGAAGAGTTTGGAGAAGGCAGGAGAAGTGATCAATCTAGGACAATATAGCTGATATGGAAAAATTCTCCAATTCAGCTTACTTTCCGGTTCAGCTATGTTGTCCTAGCTTCTCCCGCCTTCTCCAAACTCCTCACCCTTCTGTGAATAACCCTGATCATTTTCTGCGGAGTCAGCTGGTCCTGATAACTTGTGTTAGGGGCTCTTTTCCTTGCAGGGTCCTATGGAGCCACCCTTGTGTGTGCTAGTATTGTGCTAGTAAGCTGTGTGTCTTTCCACAAACACACAGGAACAGTGAGGCAAGACACTCCCCTGCCATTCCCTTCTCCAAGCTGGTAGATGAACAGTTGCTGGAGACTGTTCTGTCCTGCCCTCCCCCCCCCTACCCCCCACAGACACTATACTACAACAGGATCTGTCAATGGAGAAACTTATCAGCCACAGCTGCAGAGGGACTTGTAGTTCTTGATGGAATACAAATGCAATGACATTATCGCACTTGTAGTCTCTTCATTCTCCCCCTTCTCTGTTACTGGATGTCCATACCTTGGCAGGGACATGGGCGGAAGGAAGAGTCTGCAGGAGCCAGAGCATTGCACCCGACATTAAGGTTGCAGTACTTCTCTGGCTCCAATGCACAAAAACAAACAAAATGCATGTTTTTCTCTTCTGAATATTTGTGCATTTCTTCTTATTCATAAAGGTGGAATTGGCTTGTGTGTCGGTGATGTGTGTGCCGTGTGCATGTTGCTGTGTAGTGTGAGGATGTGAGTCATATGTAAACATGATTGTAGGACAAAATATTTTCTATATATTTGCTGAATGAAAACTAGACCGTTGTGCCAGAATCCAGGAGAACTGCCTCCTGGAAGCCGGTCTCTGCCCCGGTGAAGATGATGGAGACCAAAGCAGTCACCAAACAGAGAACATGCGTACATCAGAGGAGATAGAACTCATATCCTCTCCGTGTTCATCTCTGCGCCTCTCTCTAATGTGGTTTAGCAGAATGCAGCCTGTAGTTCTATTATTCCTCTGGGTTTCACAAAACACACACTTTATTGTATTCAGCGGCACAATATGCAAGCCTGAAAAGAATGCATGCAAACGTCAAGCAAAACAGAATCAAAATGCAAGCTAATGTCAAGCAAACCAGAATCAAAATGCAAGCTAATGCCAAGCAAACCAGAATCAAAATGTAAGCTAATGTCAAGCAAACCAGAAGCAAAATGCAAGCTAATGTCAAGCAAACCAAACTCAGAATGCAAGCTAATGTCAAGCAAACCCAAAGCAAAATGCATGGAAAGGTCAAGCAAACCAGAATCAAAATGCATGCAAACATCAAGCATACCAGAAGCAAACTGCATGGAAAGGTCAAGCAAACCCAAAGCAAAATGCATGGAAAGTCAAGCAAACTAGAAGCCAAATGCAAGCAAACATCAAGCAAACCAGAAGCAAACTGCATGCAAATGTCAAGCAAACCAGAAGCGGAAAGCATGTGGATTTTAAACCAACCGTGAAATGGGCCCTAATAATAACAACGATGTGTGTACTGTATTTGTGGTTATTTGGAAAGTGAACCTGTCTCCAGCTGATTTAACAAGCACTTAGCCCAGGTAAACACTTGCACATGGGCATTTTCTGCGTGTTTTTGATGCATTGCCATGTGTCTTCTTGTGTTGTTTTGGTCAGTGGAAAGCAGCATCTTCTGTGCCATCATTAGGTGTCATATACGACTGCAGTGCTGAACAACAGTTCTAGCCAAGTTCATGTCATGAAGATTTAGGAGAATTTATAGGGGAGCGGTGTCACCATTATCTGGGTTTCTATGTTTTGGGTAATTCCAAAACAATATGTGTAGGCAGGAGCCGTGCAGAACAGAGATGGGTTCTGGGTGTTGACATTAAAGTAGTATTAAACGCTCAAACTTTTTTCAATTATGATTCCAGATCCAACAAATCTACGTTGCCCAGCATAGGATTTGATTACATTTTTGCCCAAACACTTAGTCATCATGTTTCCAGACCGCTCCAACTTTCTCAGCTCAGCTTCCCTGGACTTCCTGTCCTTTGGGGCTATTTAGTGCCGTGAAGTCAAATCTGGTTGCTGTGGGTACTTTGCACATTATCCTTGCTCATTATACTGCTTTGCTGATTGAATTCATGAGTG